GTTTGAAGGTGTTTCAAGATGTTTGAAGACGTTTGAAGGTGTTTCAAGTCGTTTGAAGACGTTTGAAGACATTTGAAGGTGTTTCAAGAAGCCTGAAGCCTCTGAAGAAGCTTAAAGACATTTGAAGAAGCTTCAAGACATTTGAAGGTGTTTCAAGACATTTGAAGATGTTTGAAGGTGTTTCAAGAAGTTTGAAGATGTTTGAAGGTGTTTGAAGGTGTTTCAAGACGTTTGAAGAGGTTTGAAGGTGTTTCAAGAAGCCTGAAGCCTCTGAAGAAGCTTCAAGACGTTTGAAGATGTTTCAAGACATTTGAAGATGTTTGAAGGTGTTTCAAGACGTTTGAAGATGTTTGAAAACGTTTGAAGGTGTTTCAAGACGTTTGAAGGTGTTTCAAGATGTTTGAAGACGTTTGAAGGTGTTTCAAGTCGTTTGAAGACGTTTGAAGGTGTTTCAAGAAGCCTGAAGCCTCTGAAGAAGCTTCAAGACATTTGAAGAAGCTTCAAGACATTTGAAGGTGTTTCAAGACGTTTGAAGACGTTTGAAGGTGTTTCAAGACATTTGAAGGTGTTTCAAGACATTTGAAGACGTTTGAAGGTGTTTCAAGACGTTCTGGGATGTTTCAAAACGTTCTTAGACGTTTCAAGACGTTCAGAGACATTTCAAGACATTCAGAGACGTTTCAAGACGTTTGGAGACGTTTCAAAATATTCAGAGGTGTTTCAAGACATTCAGAGATGTTTCAAGACGTTTGAATATGTCTAAGAATGTTTGTGTTTGTAGATGAGGGCTGACATACCAGAATGTCTTTGCTTGTGTAGTGGACCATCCAGCCTTCCTTCATTACGTTGCTGCTTTTCCTCTTGGCATGTTTAACAGACTGAACGACTCTCATCAGGGGGATGTTGTTGCTGGTGGATGGGCTGCAGGGAAAATCACAGTGTTAGGTGTGTGTGTGTGTGTGTGTGTGTGTGTGTGTGTGTGTGTGTGTGTGTGTGTGTGTGTGTGTGTGTGTACCTTATGGCACGGTTGGAGTCATCCAGGTCTGGGTCACCGGGTCCTGTCTCCAGCATCAAACCTACTTCTGAAGTTAAAGCGTCGTCCAGATCATCCATGAGGCTCGCTCTTCGGTCAGGGTTGTGGTCGTCAAGGCAACCCTCCACCATGATCGCATCTGACTCCGCCCCCGGGCTCAAGAGATCTACTTGATCAACAAAGTTAGGAACTAAATATTTTGTTAAAATCTAGTCATACAGACTGTGACCACCATGCGGAAGCAACTGGACGTCTGTGAGACGAAGTGGTCATTCATCTATGACGTCAGATATTTTATAACCATCTGATGAAGACTGAAGAATGCCAATTGCTGAATGACTGCTGAAACCAGCTAAAGTGGCTAAAACTGAATCGTTAAAGGAAAAATAAGCAGAACATAGCTAAACACTAAAACTTAAAAAGTAGGAAAAGGCTAGTTAAAAGCTAAAGGCTGCAAAAGGCTCGCTAATACTATTAAATTGGTTAGCTAACAGCTAATCATGTAAAAGACAGCTATAAGCTAAAAGTAGCAGAAAGATAACTAAAAACTGACTAGCAAAGCGCTACTTTGAAGTTTAAAGTATTGGAAAAGCCTAACTAAATGTTAAAAATATCAAAATGCTAGAGAAAGCTAAAGGTTTTGATGAATGGTTAATGTGGGAAAAGGCTAAAAATATCAAGACTATCTACAGGTTTTTGTTTTCTTCGTTCGGCTGCTCAGGAGTCGCCACTTGCACAAAGACATGGCGATTGTTTTTACACCAGACGCCCTTCTTAACGCAAACACAGACCACTGAGCTACCACAGCCTTCTGCGTGGAGCAGGGAGATGCCATCTAGGGTGCCGGGGGAACAGATGGTGGGGGTTAAGGGCCTTGCTCAAGGGTCCAGAGTGGAGCAAACGAGGGTCAAGGCAGGTGTGGATGCTTCACTTTTCCCACCCACATTCTTTGGGGGATCGAACCGACGGCCTTCCAATCACAGGCTCACCTTCTCTAACCTCTGCACCACCACTCCCCCAAGCTACAGGTTAAAGGTAGTAACAAGCTAACAGCCTAACAAGCAAAAGACTAGCTAGAAGCTATAAGAAGCAAATGACTAAAGAAGCTTAACATTTCAAATGGCTAGCTAAAAGCCAAAAGTAGCATAAGATGACACAAACACCAGTAGCCGAAGTAAATTTTACTGTTAACATTTTGAAGGAACAGGAGATTTGGATATTTTTCTGATATCTTTATGTATTTCTATAGAAAAGATTTGTACAAACCACAACTAAAATCTGTTTAAAGTGTCATAAATAAACATCTTTGTTTGTTTGTTTGTTTGTTTGTTTGTGGTAATGTGAGCTGAAACTTGCCTCCGTTTATGGAAACCTCTCCCTGGCAGTTGTTGGGCACCTTCAGAGCGCATCGTTTGTGACAGTTAAATCTACAATCTGAGGAAAACGACAAAGAAAAGAGAGAACTGAACGGAGGTCAGACAACAGAACGGGTCGGTTCAAACTGAAACGTCTTCCATGAGAACCATCTGATCCTGAAGCTCATATGTTTCAGTTAAAAAGTCTTAAAGCTGTCGGTCTGAAGACGAACATCCTGAAGAAAAGGTTCACGACGGCTGAAAACTGTAAACTCATTGGTGTCAATAAAAGCCTGAACTAAACCCAGTTACCTGGGAACTGCTTTCAGATGAAGCTTTCTGTCTAAAAAAATCTAATTACTGGTGAACCGTGTTCAACTGATATCTGAATATCTACTTCAAAATAAACTATACTTTTATACAGTTTCTGGGTGTTGAATCGTCGGCTTCAGCTGTTTAAAGTTTCAGTCGAGCACTCAAGTGAAAACAGACCGTGTGTTTTTTTTATTTTTAGTGTTTCTGTACTTGCAGCAGAAGATTTAACGTGCGCACCTTTGCACTGCAGCCCCTGTCTGAAGAGGCCTTTCAGCAGCTTCTTGCAGTGCTGGCAGACGGTGGGGCGGGTGTACGAGTGGATCAGGAAGGTGTGGGGAACTTTGACCTTTGACAGCAGGATCTTGTCCAGCTCGATGGGTCGGCCGATGTGAGACTGGGTGCTGGCCCGCCGCTCCCGCCCAGGGAAGTACTCCAACTGGTTCTTCTGTTGGAAGGACAGACAGGAAGGGAAGGAAAAAGGAAGCGTCTAACGTTTCTGCAGTGATTCACACAGACTGAGACATGAACAGAACCTGCCTCAGAACCCAGACAGGGTCAAAAACTGAGCTCAGATGGTGGAACATGTTAGGATTTTATGTTTTGAAGAATAGGAAACTCAACATTTCCAGCAGAGAAGCACAATCTGTCAAAAGATTACCATAAATGTGTCTGAGAGGAAAATCAGAAACACAAACCGTGTGGCAAAATGTCTACTTAGACTAGAAACACAAGCTAAAGGAGAATCGTGAGAGCTGAAATTTGGTAAACATTTTGAAATAAGACGTTAAAGATAATGAGCCGAACAAACTTAACGAGGAAAATCAAAGCTGAAACACACTAGCTAGCATGACCAGAACTGTAACCAAAACAAGCAGAACAGTTGCTAAAAGGTGCAACAAACACAAAAGTAGCTAAATGTTAAAATAGACAGAACAGCAGCTAAAAGCTAGAATCAGCCAAATAGGACATCATTTTTATTTAACTAGACTTTAAATAGAAGCTAAAAAAAGCAAACCACTGGCTAAAAGCTAAAATAAGCAAGCTAAAAGCTAAAATAAGCAAACTAGAGGCTAAAAGCTAAAAATTAGCAAATCAGTAGCTAAAAGCTAAAATAAGCAAACCAGTGGCTAAAAGCTGCAATAAACCAGTAACTAAAAGCTAAAATAAACAAACCAGTGGCTTAAAGCTAAAATAAGCAAACTAGTGGCTAAAAGCTAAAAAAAATAAGCAAATCAGTAACTTTTAGCTAAAAATAAGCAAACCAGTGGCTAAAAGCTAAAATAAGCAAACCAGTAGCTAAAAGCTAAAAAATGCAAAACTATAGCTAAAAGGAAATTTCTCACTGTTTGCAAAAGTTGTTAACTCTATTAAAAAAAAAAGCATTTTTTTGATAAAAGCTAAAATTAGCGTTAGAAGCAGCAGCTGAAGCTGATTTCAAAGAGAACAAAGATGATCTTTGTGTTTTTCGATGGGAAAGTGTTTGTAAATAAAGATAAATATGTTAGAAAATATAAAACTTATAAAAATCAGAAGATCTCCTCCAAATCAAGCCGAATGTTTTATTATAACAGCTACAGTCTGCAGAAGTAATTAGATTACAACAAACACACAGACTGGAACCTCCAGGATTGATTTTCTCCCTAAATGAAATAAATTCTGGTTCTGATGTGTTCTGACAGGTTCTGACAGGTTCTGGTGGGTTTAGGTGGTCTGACTCACCTCCATGTTGGGACTGACGGGTGACTGTGGACAGAAGAAATAAAGTTACCACGACAGGAAGTGGTTTGTTTACGTCAGCTTTGCTACATGTCCTGACCAGTACCAGTAAAGCATCGTCGGTGTAGTGTGGAGGCGAAGGTTCTGCAGACAGAGGCCGCCCGATGTTGACCATCCCTCCTGTCAGGGACACGTTGGACAGGCGTCTCCGTCTCACCCCGCTGCAGTTGTTGGGGATTTTAAAGGCGCAGCGTTTATGATAATTCAGACCACAACCTGAAAAACACGACACGATGTGACTTTTCAAATCAGGCCTTCTGGTTTCCATGGAGACGCCGCTCACCTTCACATTTGAGCCCCTGTCTCACGAGCCCCCACAGCATCTCCCCACAGTGGTCGCAGAAGGTCGGGGCTCGGTACGAGTGGACGAACAGGCTGTGGGGACGGATCTGGAAGTCCTCCATGGTGGCTGAAGCTGCAGCACATCAGACAAAGTTTGGTGTGGCAGTAGCTGAGCATCGTCCTCAGCGCACGTCCTGAGCGCTGGATATGTTTCTGCTGAAAACTGTAACATCAACCCTGCCTGTCTGTTAGCAAAATATCTCCTGAACAAGTCTCAAGGTGGCTGTTTTGTGATGGTTCAGCTAATGAACCAACAAATCATTTAAATAGTTCAATCAGCCTGGAGTTTCAGCTGAAAGGAAACAAAACAATATTTGGGAATCTTTTTAGTTTTAGCTGCTTGAGCTCGTCCTGCAGCAGAAAACACACGGTGGTCATGTGGGTGTCAGTCCACAGAGTCGATGATTGAACCGCCGCTCGGCCAAACCGTGAACCCCGACGTGGATCCTTCAATTTGGAGAAGCTGCAGCCGTGTCGGTCAGAAACTCCTGCTCAGTGTGTGTTGAGGACGACTCTCAGCTACTACCACTCCAAACTTTACTCAGTACCTTTAAAAATTACAGAGTTAGTGTTAATGCAGCCATTTAGCTGTGGCAGCCATCTTGAATCAGGTTAACAAGCTGCAGCTGTACATTCACTGCTTTCTTTTTGAGTTTCATTAGAATCGATTATCTGGTTCCTCAGATATTTTACTAACAGTGCAGACAGACAGGTGAACACATCGTCACCACTGTGGCTGATAACAGTTTCAGAGAAACGGCTGAATGAACTTACACCAGTCAGCCATAACATTATGACCACATGTCTGATGTTAAAAGCAGCCCTGACTCGTTGCATCTCTGAAGGTCTGGTATGGGGTCCGGTGTGGGGTCTGGAGCGGGGTTCAATGTGGGGTTCGGTGACGGCCCATCAGGCACAGTGAGGCAGAGCTGATGGGCAGAGCATTTTACGAAACTAAAATCTTGAGACTTTGGGGACAAAGTCAACAACAAGTCAACGCCTCAGACTCATGTTCATCAAATAGATGGGGGTCTCATCTGCAGTGATGAGACCGTTGCTCCGGTCTGTCTTGGTGAACGAGCTAAGCTCTGGATTTACTGATCTGTCTGCGGTCCAACCCTCACCTATGATCAGAAGGTCTGGATCAGGAGTGACAGAACCAAATCCTGGATCCAAGCAGCTGAAATGAGCTTCCTGATGGGGGTGAGGGGACCGGACCAGAATCGGGTCAGGTGGGGTTAAAGATAAATGGATGTCTGGCGCTGTCTTTTATTCGTAACACAAAGGTTTAGCTTGTGGAAGCCATTTCACCTACAGTATCGGAACTTCAGGACAGAAGAATTTGTAAAAGTCTCGGGTTTGATCAGAACCTTGTTTGATTTTCTCCGTGAAGCCACAGATGAAGCAGCTGAACCGAGCAGCAGAAACAAAGAGTTCTTTAGAGCGTCATCTGGAAATAATTGTAGAAATCTGAGGCTTATGGTGTGATGGAGGATGATGTGGGGACAGCTTTCACCCCTTCCTCTCTTTATTTAATCTCTTCTCTGTTTTTGTCCACATTTCAAAATGTTTCTTGCCTCCTTTATTCTTTCACACAAACGCTTTCGCGAACAAAAAGTCTCAGCTTGTGTTGTGGTTCTCCAGCAGAATACGGCCCTGATTAAACATTCTGCGGCAGAAAATTACCTCCATTTATTCAAATTACTGTTTACGCCTTTTGTTTGGAGGGTCAGTCCAGGTTTAAAGGTCTGAACAAGCTCCTAAACTGTTATTATATCCTTCAGAAAATGAAATGTATGTGTGTGTACTTGTTTCTGTAAGGACCTTCTCTCAAATAATTACTGACCTCGTCAGAATCAGTGCTTTTTATGATCATAACGTGGTCCTAATGAGGCGAAGCATCGTTTGGTTCCAGTTTGGGTCTACAGAAGCTGTGAACTGAGGTTAGGTTGAGCTAAAGGCTCCTGGTTTCACAGAGTGTTTTAAAAACAAGACTTTAAATTAGGCCGTTCACAATAAATCGCTGTTTTTACGTCAGTGTCTCAGTATTGCAGATAAAGCTGTTTAGATGAAAACTGTAAACCAGTAATAGAAGAATGGCTGCTGGTAATTAAATGATTAATTTTTGTCTCATGTTAAATCAAAGTTTGCAACAACAGAAGAAACCAGAAGGTTTTTGCAGGAAGTCTGCCAGAGCAGCTCCTGCATGAAGGTGCTTCTTCTCTAAAGCCTAACCTTTGTAAACATCTAAGAATCTAAATCTAAACATCTAAGCCATGGCAAAGTTCCACCTGATTCTTAAGAGTATCTCTGAGCTTTATTTTGAAACTCCAGGCTCAGTTGTCTTCCTGTTTCCTGCCAACTCTCTGACTGAATCCTCCTAAACTTCAAATGTTTGATTAGAGGTGACATGAAGGATCTGTGGGGGGCAGCAATTGAGGGGAGAAAAGCATGCTGGGTAATCAAGAAGACCCAGAAACTGCCGAGTCACTGGTTGCCATGGTGATTCACTCCTTTTTTTCCTTTACCTGGAATCTGCCGAGTCACTGGTTGCCATGGTGATTTCCCCCTTTCTTAACGTGGAATCTGCCGAGTCACTGGTTGCCATGGTGATTCCCCCCTTTCTTAACGTGGAATCTGCCAAGTCACTGGTTGCCATGGTGATTCCCCCTTTCTTAACGTGGAATCTGCCGAGTCACTGGCTGCCATGGTGATTCCCTCCTTTCTTAACGTGGAATATACAGTCACTGGTTGCCATGGCGATTCCCCCCCCCTTTTTTACCGACTGTCGAGTCACCAGTTGCAATGGTGATTTATAAACTCTTTGACGCAGAATTGTCTGAATATTTTAGTTGCCATGGGAATACCTTTTTTGAAGCAGAAAGATCAGAACTTTCAGAACGAGGCAGCACTTTTGGCAGAGCCACAGAAGAAAAGATTCTTCCTGAAGGAGAACCCTGTCTGCAGCAGATACACCATCAGGCGTTATCGGTGGAGGTCTGCAGGCTTGTTCACAGTTGGAGCTTTTGTCAGTGCAACAGTTGAGTCCTTGTTTACCTCAAAGGTGAAGAATCTCCCACCCGGATGGCTCAGGTTGTCCCAGGCGGTCAGCTCCAGGAAGAGTCCTGCTGGTTCCAAATGTCTTCTTTTTATAGATGTTGCTGGCCACTGGGCTCACTGGGACCTTCAACACAGGGATTGTTCTGGACACTTCCCCAAATTTGGGCCTTGATCCTGTCTCTGAGGTCTACAGACACGTGGTTGAACTTAAGGTCTTGGTTTAGGTTCTCACACGCTCTGTACACTATGAGGTCTTTAAAAAACAGTTGAGTTTACTCCAGTCAGGTTGTGGAAACATCAGAAGGATGCTCAGGATGTGTCGCAGCTTAAAGGCTGTGAAAACTCACAAACACGCAACCATTTCTGTTTTATTTCTAATCAAGTTGCTACATTTCAAACAAACTTTATTTGAAGTTGTCATGATGGCGTTCTGTGTAGAAGCTTTAGGAAAAGAATGTTGTAATCTATTCTGGGACGAGACCGTAATAAACAGAATGTGGAAGAAGTGAAGCGCTGTGAGTACGTTCTCAAATATATTTAGAAAGATTTATTCTGACACATTTAGTCTCCGAGTCCAACATCCTGCACATGGCTTCCTGAGTTTGGACAACCAGGATGTCTGTTGTCTGTAGAGACACCGCTGCTGAAAGATTAATTAAAACAAGCAGCCGAAGGCAGACAAACAAGATGCAAATGTTCAGACACACTCGCTGTGATGGAGAGGCAGGACACGAGGAAGCAGCAGCTGTCAGCCTGTTAGCGCCGCTGCGTGCAAACACCTGAGTCCTGCTGGAAAACAGCCAGACGGCTCCAAACTGAGGCCGGCGTTCCCAACATCTGGACTCTGAGGGGGGGGGTCAGGTTCTGAGAAGTGTTAATGCTGACAATCAGAACATTTCTTACCAATCTGCTATGGCTGAACAGCTGACAACATGCAGAAGGTTTGCTCAGCTTGTTTAAAAACTAAATATTTTTCTGCATCCACCTTCTTCATGTCATGGACTTGATCTCCCGTCAGATGTTTGGTGATGACCCCCACCCATCAGACCGGAACATTAAGCTGCACACATGCGCTGAACGCTGAGATGAAGGCCCCCCCAGAGTCCCCCGGCCTGTACAGATCCTGGTCTCCACACCTGACAAGATGGCCTCCACCAGGTCTCCCTCCTGGATCTGCGAGGCGGAGCGCAGCAGCTGCAGCACGAGGTCCGACGTCGGGTCGTGACGAAACAGGAGGACCTTCTCCTGCATCCCGTAGAAGCCACACTCTGGGATCTGATGGACACGAGGAGGAAAACAGAGGTTTTAACAGACAGAGGGTGGACGCAAACATCCTGCAGTAAAAACAAACAAACAAAACGTTCCTGATTTCACTCAGAATCCAAAGGTTTGAATTATTCTCAAAGTAACGAGAAAATTAATATTTTCTGCCAAACTGCAGAGAGAATGCTGACTCTGCTGAAATGTGCTGAAGACAGTGAGTGGAATAAAAGCTGAACTTTTAACGTTGAAACGTTTAGAGGAAAAGAAGAAGGATGGAAAAATCTTAGAGACAACATAAGGAGACAAAAAGGACACATAAGGAGACAAAGAGGAGCCATAAGGAGAAAAAAGGACACATAAGGAGACAAAGAGGACACACAAGGAGACAAAGAGGGCACGTAAGGCGACAAAGAGGACACATAGGGGAGCAAAAAGGACCCAT